CCAATTCATCCAGGATAGCCAGGAGCAACATTCTTTCCTTCTGGAAATGAGTGACGAATTCGCGTAGAAACTCGGACTTTCCTTGTGTAATTCTGAATATGTCGGACCTTTGGGCCTATACCTTCTTGGCCCCAGCATGACGCTTGATAAAAGAATCCGCGAGCATTTCAAAAAAGTCAATTGAATGCTCGGGTAATAATGAATACCACGTTAGAGGTCCTCTCGTGAGAGTTTCTCCAAATTTCTTTAACAACACATATTCAATTTCGTGAGGAGCTAGATCATTTCCTTTTTTCGTTGTTGTGTAAGTGGTAATATGCTCCTGAGAGTCTGAAGTTCCGTCATATTTTTTTGGCACTTCAGGCATTTTGAACTGTTTAGGGATCAACTCTGATGCAACGCTCAGCTTGTACGACAATTGAGTATACTTCTTCGAATTTGGCCTTTCAATATTGGTGGAGCGCGCGGGATTTTGTCCATGCGGGAGTTTACCTCCCTCATAAACTGTAAAAGTCACTCTTGAAATGATCGTTCTCATTTGTCATGACCTGGTTCGCCCTCCGTGAACCATCGCGACGGCACCTAGTCTCTACGATTAGGTAAGCCTAAAATGCGGAAAGATAAACCAATTTGCGGAAGAAAAAAATTAAAAACAAAATAGTGAAGTAAAAACAGCGTTTAAAAGTGCCGCTCGACATACACAATATCAACTCTCAAAACTAATACATTTTCCTAAAACCCGGAATCTCACGAACACAAGCCTTTGAATATATACCAGTAGATAACTCCAGAATATCTAACAAGGAGAGAAAAATACAGAAGGCCTAATACTTAAAAGGGAGAGTAGAAAGGGACTCTTCGGTCTGCGGACGCGGAAGATATACCTAGGAGTCTCTACAAAATGCCTCGTCTCAAGCGTGGAAAGTCTGAATGGAGGTACCTGGATCTGCACATGAAAACATGCATAGAAAAGGGCATGAGTACACCACAGCGGTACTCAGTAAGTGCCAAGCCTAACCTCGGTCGGGCAGTGACGAGGAAGGTCAGGGCCATACTGAGATTAAATAAAATATAAGGGATGACAGAATAAGATGAGCAGTACAGTTGAAAGCAGACAATAAGAATTGAATACAGGATGCTAAGGAAATACAATAACGGGAACAGAGATGAAAACAATCCCAAGGAAATACCACTCTTCGCAAGGATAATAACCGAGGATCTCTCAGTATCACGAAGATCTCTTAATACTCTCAATATATGCCAGAGATCTCTTGGTATCCTCAATATATGCTAGGGATCTTTTGGTATTCCAAAGATCTCTTGGTATCCTCAATATACGTGCCAGGGATCTCTCAGTATCCCGTACCTCAGCTCAAATCATAAATATGTACAGGGGATCTCCCGGGATGTCGTCCCGTAGTCCCAAAGTAAAACACACAGCCACAACACAAAGAATACTCAATTAAGCTCAATTTCGTACCAAGTAAAACATGTAATTCTAACCTAACATGCATCATATAATACAATTAAGGAAGTTTAAGCAAATAAACAATTAAGTCAATTAAACATGCTTTTTCTAAGCTAACAACAGGCTTAAATTGCAAGTAGTATTTAACAGGAAAAAGGAACACAATTGAAATTACTTAAGGAAAATCAAATTTTCAACAATTAGCTCAAGTACGCACTCGTCACCTCACGTACAAAGCATTTCAATTATCAAATATACCAAATCCTAAGGGGAAGTTCCCCCCACAAGGTTAGACAAGTCACTTACCTCGAACCAGCTCAAAATCAACCTGAAACCACGTCTTTGTCACGAGTACTCGACTTCAAATGGCCCAAATCTATTCAATTAAATTTCATAATGTAAATAACACTTCAAGTAACTAATTCTACAATTAAATTCTAAGTTAATACGCGAAATTAGGTAAAATAACCAAAACATCCCTTAGGCCCACATCTCGGAATCGGGTGAAATTTATATTTTCAGATCCTCATACTCTCACGAGTCTATACATAACAAGAACACTGAAATCAGAGTTCAATTGACCCCTCAAGTACCCATTTTAAGGTCTCTTAGTCTCAAGCCCTAATTACCCATTTTCTCGAATTTTTCACCACTAATTAGGTCTTTAATCACATATAAATGAGTTTTAAAGTCAAAAATATTACCTCCAAGTGATTCCCCTTTGGTTCCCTCAAAAATCACCCTCAAAAGCTTCAATCCCGTTCAAAAATGGTGAAAACATGAAGAAGGGTCGCAGATGGTCTATTTAAATACTACCCAGATATTCCTTCTTCGCGAACGCGGAAGGCCCCTCGCGTTCGCGAAGCACAATTTCACTTGGGCCCAATTTCTTCATCGCGAACGTGATGCCCAGGTCGCGAACGCGATTCAAAACTTCCTCCTCCTACGCAAACACGGGAAAACCATCGCGAACGCGTAGGTATAGAACTCCCAGCTTCGCGAACGAGAAGCATAAATTCCTAACCAGCCCCAGCTCCTCTTTCTGAACGCGAGACCCCACTCGCGAACGCGAAGAATTAAACCAGAACTGATGCTGCAACATTTTCTGCAATTTTCTAAGTTCCAAAAATGATCCGTTGAGCATCCGAAACACATCCGAGGCCCCCGGGACCTCAACCAAACCTACCAACATATCCCATATCATCATTCAAATTTGTTCTAACCTTTGAAATGCTCAAAACACCATCAAAACACCAATTTAGCATCGGATTCAAGCCTAAGAACTTCAAAAACTCTAAAAATACGCTTTCGATAAAAAAGTCTATCAAACATCGTTCGAATGACCTGAAATTTTGCAAACACGTCACATTCAACAAGACGGAGCTACTCCAACTTCTGGAATTCCATTCTGATCCTCGGATAAAAATCTCACTATCGAACCGGAAACTTCAAAAATTCAACTTTTGGCATTTCAAGCCTAAATTAGCTATGGACCTCCAAAACACAATCCGAACACGCTCCTAAACCCGAAATCACCCAACGGAGCTAACTGAATCATCAGAATTCCATTCCAAGTACGTCTTCATACTGTTCCGACTACGGTCAAATTTTCAAAACTTAAGCTCTCATTTATGGACTAAGTGTCCCAAAACTCCAAATAAACACTCCCGACAACTCACAATAGTAGAAACAAATACGGAAAAGGCAGTTAATAGGGTATCAGAACGTTAATTTTTAAGACGACCGGCCGGGTCATCACATCGTTATTGAGACCGGACCTGCTCCCCCAGCCCTGTCGGAACCAACCTCACTCCTAGGAATGTTGTTACCGACCCTCTGCGTTGTTTGATTTTAGGGGGGAGGGGGTTTACCAGGAGGAATTGGATCTCATCTGTTTGCATTGTTTGAAGCACCTGATAGTGCTTGCTTTAACTCCGTCATAACTTTATCCTGCCGCATGAGATGGCCTAAGATGATCTCTTATTGCTGTTGTAAAAACCTTACCGCGTCAACAACATATTCCTCATCAACATTATCGGGAGTTGCCTCCCGAACTTGTCGAGGATACTGCCTATTATGAACTAGTGTGGCATTATTCTCCTCATTACGAATGTCACTAATTGAGTCCTCAAAGTGAGGCTGATCTCCTTAAATCTCGGGGTTGTGTGTGTTATTGATGGTGTTATCTACCATTTTTATGGTTTTTCCTTAAGACAAAAAATCAAATTACGTTAGTAAAAAAGACAAGGATCAATTTAATTGCACGGCTGTCTAGGTCCCACGGTGGGCGCCAAACTATTTACCCATAAAATTGTACAGTTAAATTTATACGTGATTTCTAGAAAAATGGACTAATTTGATCGAGAAATAATAAAGTAATTGGAGAAATAATATGATACTTAGCCTCAGAATGTAGATAAAATAGCATAAATAATGATTCCGGGAGCAAGACTTCCGGTTAAAGCAACGATGAGATCAAAAAGCAAGAAAGTAAATGATATTAAGCTTTGTATAAAATGTAGTATAAGTTTACCAGAAAATTTATGTCCTTACAATGATAACTGAGCTCTCTATTTATAGCTATGTCTTGGGAAGGAGGTCGTAGGATTGTGCCATCCTTTAATGTCAATTTTGAGAGTCATTGATGAAGGTGTAACAATGAAAATAAATGCCAAATTCCTTGTAACGGGTTGTCATTCTTAATACTGCAGATTATTCTCTATTAAATACTACCGGACGCAAAGCATTTAATACACCTTTATGAACATTCTCTCCCGATGACAAGCGGAAGAGCTGTTATAATGATCATCTCTGTCTTGGATTCCACGTATCCTTCCTTTAGGTGACCACATGTCATATCATATTTTCTCTATACAGTGTTGTTGTTAGTGCTCGAAATATTACAGTGCGAACTATTAAAAAAAGAAAAGAAAAAGAAACCTTCAATAAAAGAAATATTAAATCAAATATATATTACTTGAACGGATTATTACAGTGGATACTAGCTAGGTTGATACATAATAAATTCGTTGATTACTTTAATCTGACTTATATTATTAGATCAAATTGCAAGATGGCGAAGCTTAATTAATTAGGGAACAAAAACTTATTAATGAAAAAATAACATCAATTAGTCAAAAAAGAAAAACATTACAAAAATCTCTCTCTTAATGAAAATAGTTAAAATAATTACACACTAGCAGTAGCAATAATGTACATTATTCAACACTTCCGGAGGGGAAAAATAATTAAAAGAATAAAACTTAAATGTTACAAAGTAAAATATATATCACTAAAACAAGCTCATAATCATCTTCTTTCTTGTGCTCGCCACATGTAGAAACGTG